GATGCAATGCAAGCACAATGTATATTCCCTGATTGGTCGACAGCATTCTACATGCAAGCAGTAGCCCTTGCAAAGCTCGACATGCACAAGGACGCCGCTGATATGTTGAGTGAGGCAGTCACGCTAGAAGAAAAGAAGCAAAAAGTCGTTAAAGCATCATGAGTCTCCCTCCTGTCAATAATTTCATTGGGTTATATTCTTTTGTAACTGGAAAATGCAGCTTCTGTATTGTTTGTTTTGTGAATTGTGATATTCAATGGACATTGTAATTTTTGCACGCAAATTTGTTGAATAATCAATAACTTTTATGTTTGTGTTTTATGTTTGGCTGATCTTCATAACATATTTATAAATGTCAAGTTACTTTTTATTCGTGCACTTTTAAAGATTCACAAATACTACTCATTTATTCACCATTCTATTCTATCTATTTATAGAGTAATGCTACACTTACACACTTGATTCACATTTTCTTTCACATTCCTCTCAAATAGGGGGTGAGGCTTGCAGTTTTAAAAATGGTGGGCTCCACCCCCTATGTGAGAGGAATGTAAAAGTGAATGTAAACCAAGATGTGTGCATTTAGCATTTTTGCTATTTATAATTTAAACCGTTTATAAACACTTTCTAAATATGTTATATCACTTAATAATTAAAAAGGGAAATTTAGGGCTGAGTTTCCCAATCTTTCTTATGCTGTGGTTATGGGATTTCAATATTCGAGGGTGAAGTTTTAGGTTTTCAACCTATTTAAATGTGAACTTGATTATTCATGTAATTCAGACCATCGATGTGAACTTTCAAATTTTACGTGATTTTGAGCTCTTATTTAAATTATATATTTCATGGGATTCACATTTTTTTTATTAACTTTTTAGTCATACATTTATCAAATTTTATTAAAATGTACTAAAAATCTGATTTTTAGAAATACCAAGCCCTTGTTTAGACAACCTTTGTCTAATTTAAGTCAAAGTTGACAATTAATTTTACTCATACACTTCATTAACTTTTATCAAAATTTACAAAAAAAAATTTAATTCTAATTCCTTCTAAACAAGGGGCAGATAGGGTTTTAGTTGAATCAAATAAAAATACTAAGTAATTTGCTGATTTTACCCTCCAATTTTAAGTCGTGTGACAGTTGTGTAATAATTTGTCCATTGACAATTCAATCACGTGGAAGGCTATACGCCTAGTTATAATGTAAACTATTCCCAGATTTGATGCACATGAATAAACAAATTTGGTTGTAATGACTATCTGTTAAAAAATAAATTGTTGTAAATTCTCAAAACTGCAAGATTCTTGTCAGCATGTGGGCTCTGATTCGAAACTCTTAGACATAGTTTATTAAAGAGGTTTGAATCCCAACCTTGAGGGTCCCAATCGCCCCTTTTCAGAGCAATTTGGAGGAGGTAAATCGTGAAATGTGACTCAACAGAATATGATACAACAGTTGTCATACTGGTGCCCACAAAGAGTCCAATTTCATACTTTGTAAGAGGTAGAAATCGAACACTCACACTACGACTGCTAGCTCAGTTGAGACAACCTTACTCATGTCGTTTTGCACCATTGAGCTATGCTTCGGAAGGCTCGTAGACATAGTTTATTAATAAGAGATTTTCACGGACCATTTTTTACTCTGATTGAGCTTCCATCTATAAAAATTTATTTTACTTTAAATTCATTTTCAACTTCACATTATTGAAATAAAATAATTTTACACGTAAATCTAAATTTTTTTCAACCTTTTAATTACACATTCTCAAAAAAAAAAAAA